CGGCCGTCCAGGCCGACTGCTGGCTGCCGACTCCCCGGCCGCCCAGGCCGACTGCGGGCTGCCGACTGCACCACCAGGCCGACTGCTGGCTGCCGACTCCTCGGCCGCCCAGGTCGACTGCGGGCTGCCGACTGCACCACCAGGCCGACTGCTGGCTGCCGACTCCCCGGCCGCTCAGGCCGACTGCGGGCTGCCGACTGCACCACCAGACCGACTGCTGGCTGCCGACTCCGACGTGACGACCGTACCCGGCACTATTCATGAGACACCCCAACCATCATGTACAGTGTCACTTGTCCCCTGGCACTATTTATTAAGTGACCCAGGGGGCAAGGATGACACCCCACCATGCCTTGCCCATGCCACCACTTAGCTTACTTCCTAAGCTAGCTATGCCTATATATATGGGCACACATCCATCCATCCAGGATGGACTCACACTCACGCATACACACAAGCAAACTAGCTAGCAAGAGAGCTAGCTAGCCAGCCACACACTCACGCATGCATGCTCAGGCACATGCACACACACATCTATGCTCATATGCATATACGAGGCCAGATGCCAGATGCCTATGGCACTGACCTCAGATACAGCTCCAGGAGCACTCTGTACCAGATATACCAGATATACTCAGACATGCAGGAGTAGGGGTGTTATCTCTCCGGAGAGCCCCGAACCTGGGTAAACTAGCGTGTGCTACTCGCATACCCGTCCCTGGATATTTCGGCAGCAGTCTTGCCCTCACACGAAGCCACCTTGTGGCATATGTCGTCTTGCACCCCCCCGTGAGAATACCACGACATTTGGCGCCCATCGTGGGGCGGTACTATGCTACCGCGCTGCTGCTGGTTTCGTAGTCCGGGCGGGACCATCTTCGTCATCTCCGCCGCGGCGTCGCGCCGTCTCTCTGGTAGCGCTCGGGGGCTCGACTTCAACCCGCCCCCGGAGCGGCCGCGTGAGACGGTGCGCCCTCGCCGTCATCCTCTTCGTCTTCATCATCGCGGCGTCGCGCCGCCTCTCCGATAGCGGTCGGCGGCTCGACATCGACATGCCCCCGGAATGGCCGTGAGGGGCGGCGTGACCTCGCCATCGGCCTTGCCTTCTTCACCACCACCGTTACGACGCCGGCCGTCTGCGCGCGGTGCCTCGTTTCGATCCGCCGTGTCCTTCCACGCGCCGCTCGAGCCTGCTCCTCTCCGTGTTGCGCCTCGCTCCGGCCGACACGCGCTGGCTCCTCCATATATCATCTACACTAGCCAGACTCCACCCATGCATAGTCCAGATACAAGTCAGATACGAGTTGGACAGAGGCTAGATAATTCTCGGACAATGCGTTTTCTGCACTACGCTTCGTGCATCTCCGGCCTGCGGTGCGCCCACAGCCACCCTAGCTCGCCTCTGCTCCGCCCGCGTGCGCGCAGCCGTCCGGCCCGACTCCACCTCGCCGCATTGGCCCCGCTGTTTGCCGCCTCCGGCTCGCTGCTACCGGGTCCGCCTTCGCGCGCCATCCCGGGCCGGCTCCCGTGCCCACCAGCTGCACCACCTCGCCGCGCCTTCACAGCTCTATCTGCCCGCGCGTTGGCTCCGCCTGCTCGCCAACTCTGCGCATCCTGGCCGGCTCCTGCGCGTTCGGCTCCCCAGCATGGCCTCCGCCCGGCCGGCCTGGCCAACTGCTGGCCCCCCGCCCACGGCTGCCTGCCCCCACGCAGGCCGACTCCTCACCCGGCCGGCTTCGAACCTCCCCGCCTGCCGCCGCGGCCGATTCGCCCGATGCCGATTCGCCCGATGCCGACTCCCCGCCTGCCGACTCGCCGCCTACGCCCACAGGGCCGGGTCCAGCTCCTTCCGTGCCGCGCCGAATCCGGCTGCCCCTGTGCGCCCGCGGCTCC